ACATATACACACACACACATACATACACACACATTCATATACACACACACACACACACACACACACACAAATACATACATGTATGCATCCATCCGTGTGACGTGCCGTTGTTCGATATTTGCCATCCTAAGAATGAATAATTAAGGTGTTTCATTAATTAGAATCACGTTTTTAAGTTTCGGTGTTGTTGTTGTTGCTGTTGTTGCTGTGTTTGTTTGTTTGTTTGTTTGTTGTGGTTGGTCTCTGTTTGTTTGTTGTGGCTGGTCTTTGTTAGTCGCTGTTATTGTTGTTGGTTGCCGGTAACTTTAACTTTACTGAAACTGATTTGTATTCATTGCTGGTTGTGTTGTTGTTGATTTGCTAAAACATGTTTTGTTTAAACATGGTCTTTCTCCTACTCTCTCTCTCTCTCACTCACTCGCTCACTCACTCACACACACACGCACACATACATACACATATACATGCACAGGCACACACATACACTCACTGGCACATACACACGTACACACATCCAATGCCATTATTTATGCCGCTGTCATACACGGATCGATTCGTTAATTAAAAATTTGGCTCAAAAAGACATTTTTTTGTCACTAATTCTTTCATTCTTTTACTCCCTCTCCCTCACTTACTCTGGTTCTCTGTTTTAATTTTTCTTTCTTTCTTTCTCTCTCTTCTCTTTCTCTCTCTCTTTCTCTCTCTCTCTCTCTCTCTCTACCCATCCTTTCTGTATCTCTCTACAACTATTTTTTCAAGAGCATTAGCAGCTTAAACTTTTGTGCACGGTATATAGTACCAATAACTTTCATTTTCCCCCCTAACTCTTTCATTCTGTTCCTCTTTCTTTCTTCCTCTCTGTCTAAGTTTCTTTTTTCGTTCTTTCTCTCTATTGATATCTTTCTCCATCCCTCTATCTTTAATTTTTCCGCGCGCTTTTCAGAATACTTTAACATCAAAAACTCTTTAATTCTTTTACTTTTATTCTCATTCTCTCTATTCTTCCCTTCTTACTTACTACTCTTTCTCTTTGTCTCTCTCTCTTTTTTTTCTCTCTCTCTACCTTCCTTAATTCTTAATTCTTTCAGCAGTACATGTTGCTGAAGATATTCTTACGCTACAATGTATAATTAAGTAGCACAATCAATAATAATCAGTCTAAACAAGAACTACTACCACCATTATTGTTGTTGTTATTATTATTATTTGTAGTAGTAGTACTCTAGTAGCAGTAGTAGCAGTTGTAGTAATAGTAGTAGTAGTAGTAGTAGTAGTAGTAGTAGTAGTAGTAGTAGTAGTAGTAGTAGTAGTAGTAGTAGTAATAGTGGTAATAGTAGTAGTAGTAGCAGCATAAACAAAACACCTCATCATCATCTTTATTATAACGGTAAACAAAAACAAAGACAAAAAACTTCTCTTTAATACAAATATCAACATATTAAATACTAACTCCCTCTTTCTTTTTTCTCCTTCTCTTTCTCTTTCCTTCTCCCTATCTCTCTCTCTCTTTCTCTCTCTCTCTCTCTCTCTCTCTCTATATATATATATATATATATATATATATATCTATATATAACATTATAGCAATAATTAGAATTATAAACGTATATCTTTTTAAAAAATTATATTAATATAGACAACATTAATTTCTAATACTATATATATATATATATATATATATATATATGTATATAAATTCTGATACTAATATATATATATATATATATATATATATATATATATATATATATATAACGGTGACGTCATTTTGAGTTCATCACCCGTAAAAATGTTTATCCATATGTAGCAGTAGCGAAGTATAACACAAATAAGAACGTCAATAATAATGATAATAATAATAATAATAATAAAAATAATAATATAAATTATTATTATTATTAATATTGTAAGATGAAAATGACGTAATGATATTAATTCTAGCTTTATTTACACCTGTTACCAGTACCACAACTACATAGTACTACAACTGAATCTAATAACACATAGACACACATACACACATACATACATACATACATACATACATACATACATACATACATACATACATACATACATACATACATACATACATACATACATACATACATACATACATACATACATACATACATACATACATACATACATACATACATACATACATACATACATACATACATACATACATACATACATACATACATACATACATACATACATACATACATACATACATACATACATACATACATACATACATACATACATACATACATACATACATACATACATACATACATACATACATACATACATACATACATACATACATACATACATACATACATACATACATACATACATACATACATACATACATACATACATACATACATACATACATACATACATACATACATACATACATACATACATACATACATACATACATACATACATACATACATACATACATACATACATACATACATACATA